GCAGGGAGCGCCCTTCCCCGCACCGAAGGCGGCCGGGCGCGCAGGGACGGCGCCTTCCTAGGCCACCAGTGACCGTCAGGGCGCCACCGGCCGAGAGCTCCCGGCCACTCCCCGCAAACGCCGGGGGGCGCGGCGGGGCGCGCAAGGCCTCGAGCGACGGCGGGAAGCCCGGGGCCGGCGCGCGGCCGAGAGCCGCCGGCCCGCCCCCCCCCCCCCCGCCCGGAGCTCCCACGGGCGTCGCGCCGCCCCTCGCGCAGGCGCAGCCCCGCGGACCCGGCCTGCCCCGCGCCGGGCCTCCTGGCGCCACCCCACCCCCACCCCGCACGTCCTCAGCCGGGGACTGGCTGCGGCCGCCACAGGGGCGGGGCCGGGCGGAGGGCGGCGCATTCAAGATGGCGGCGGCCAGGAGGCGGCCTCCGGCCGAGTCGGCGGCAAGGGCAAGACCCTGGCAGCGGCCCCTGCCTGCCCGCATCCGCCCCTAGCGCGGAACAGAAGCAGTCACCGGAACCTGCCCTTGGAAACCCACGCTGGGACAGCGGGAGGAGGAGGAGGCGCTGCCGTCTACCTTCGCTCTCCCGGCCTCCACCTTTCTGCGCCGCTGCTCCTGCTCGTCTTCTTCCATCTCCCTCCGGGGCTTCTCGCGCGTCGCCCGAGAGGTGACGGGATCGACACGCCGCCGCCTTCGTTTTATTTACACTCCCTCCCCCTCGTCTGGGCTCGCCCTCCCCCCCGCGACAACTGTCACGCAGACGTGAGCCCAGCTCCGCCCCCGGCGTGCGCCGTCTGCCCCGCCGCCAATTGGGGCGGGGGGAGGGGGGGGGGGCTCGTGGTCCTGCCCTCGCGCACGCGCAGTCAGGGCGGTGCGACCCGGACGGAGCTCCGCCCCTGCCGGCCGCTGGCCTCCCATTGGCCGGATGACGATTCCGCCTCCCAGCCGGACCAGTGGTGGAGCGCGGAGGCCTCGGAACCCTCTGTGATTGGTCGGTTTTTAAAGAGGCCCTAGCTGCCCAATGGGAAGGCGGCGGGCGCGTAGGGCGGGTGCGCTGGCGCCAGCTCCGGGGCCGCAGCGGTGCCTCGAAGGGCCTTGGAGCGAGCGAGGCGGTCAGGCCTCGTCCGCCGTCTCGTTAGCTGGGAGTTCGGCGTGGCCGCTCCGCTCCCGTGAAGCGGCTGCGAGGCCGCCCACCGTCGTGTCCCCCCGGAGCAAGTGCAGGAGGCCGCGACCTCGCGCCCCGCGCCCTGCCTGCGAGGCCCCGGCGGTGGCGGGAGCCCGACTCCCGTTCCCCGGACGCTCTCTGGGACCGCCAGCCTGGGTGTCCTTCCTGTGCGTCCCGCCCGCTGCGTGCGCCTTGTGTCCGGGACAGCCCGAGTCTGGCGGGGAGTCGGGCCCCGAGCTGCAGAGGCCGCACCCGTGCATGTCTCTCACTGGGGACACAGAGGCCGCACCCGTGCATGTCTCACTGGGGACACAGAGGCCGCACCCGTGCATGTCTCTCACTGGGGACACAGAGGCCGCACCCGTGCATGGCTCTCACTGGGGACACAGCGTCGCGTCCAGGTCTCTGCCGCGCAGCGGCTGCCTCCAGCTTGCAGCTGCCGGTGGGGTCCCACGGTCATGGGTCCGCTCGCACCCCCGCCGCAAAGCAGTCCCCCGGATCAGAAAGTTAGGAGAGAGCCCACGTGGTGAGAGGCTCTGAAGGGCAGGAAAGGCAAACTTACACTTGTCTACTCCTGTTAGCACAGGAGCCCCGCGGGGCAGGGGCTCCCTAGGGCCGACCTGCCCCGCGGCCTGTGGTCCCTTGAGAAAAATGTGAGGCTGCAATTGTAAATGATGCTGTAGTTGTACCCAGGTCTCGATCCCCAGAGAGAGCTAGTTAAGTGAACATCAAAACAGCCTTCTTACAGAAAAGAATTAAGGCCTCGGGGTGTTTGGGTACATTTCGATTGTATCCTAAATGGCTGTTAAAAAGGGATGTGCTTCCTGCCCCATTTTGCTGTGGAGCTAAAGCTGCTCTAAAAAATGAAGTCTGTGGGGTGCCCGGGTGGCTCAGTGGGTTAAGCATGGGATACTCCATTTCAACTCAGGTCATGATCTCAGAGTTGTGGGATCAAGCCCCATATCAGGCTCCTCGCTCAGAGGGGAGTCTGCTGGAGATTCTCCCTGTCCCTCTCCCTCTGCCCCTTCACCCCACTTGCCCGCATGCTCTCTGTAAAATAAATCTCTAAAAAATAAAGAATAAAGTCAGTTAAAATTTTAAAAGAAAAAAGGAATATAACTTTGGTTATGCATTCATGGTCTGTGTGGGAATCTGAAGTCTCCTGAAATCATTGTTCCTCAGTTTCAAACTTCACTTGAACCTGTTTGTCCAGATAGGGAAACAATGCAAGGTTTTTATTCCCTGCCCACGGTTTGGTTTAACAATCCAGTGCTGTTGGTGTAATCAAGCTCACTGGAAGCTGATAAGCTGACTGACAATCCGAGCACCTTGTGTTGCTGTAGTGTAACCATGCCGAGTGAGCGTTCTGCCAGCACGGGCACTGGGGAAGCTCGGGGCTTTCCGCCAGTGGTGATCCTGTTTGCCTAAATGGGCTTCACATTCATGGTCTCACTTCAACTTTCCTCATTCCTGTTGGAGTGTCCCGTTTACCGTTCAATGGAAAATGAAAGCAGTGTGTACATAGAACAGCACCACAGTTCAGTTGCAGGACTAGGGAACTGCAGAGCTCAGGCAGATGAGAAGGATAAGGTGGGAGTCCCAAGCTCGGGGAGAGGCATGGGAAACTGAACAGCTGTCCCTCTGTACCCCATGGGAGATGTGAACACCACTGGGGCCGACGGGCTGTGGAAAGCCCGTTCGGATGACACGACTTCGAGTGGCCTGCCGCAAGAGAGAAAGTGGCACAAAAAGCAAGATTGCAGTGGATGGCCTTGCTCTGGGCAATGTTGCAGTAGACACGCGCTGGGTTTTTGGGGTTCCTTCTGTTCTGCTCACCTGTCCCCCGCCTTTACTTGGACAGGATTTGCCTGCAGGCTGCGTGCTCCCTGCTTACTCTATCCGCTGAGACTGAATAAGGGTAGTGATAATAGCGCCCCTTTGTCAGTGTGATAATGACAACCTGGCTGACACAAGCTCATCTTTCACCCTCAGTGGGAATGTGTGAGCATAAGCAGTCACAGCCTAGACAAACCTCCCTCAGAGGGTGCTGGAAACTCAAACACCAGAAAAACACGTCTCTATTGAGTCAGACCACAGCCCTGTGGTAAGTGCAGCTTTCAGTCTTAGCTTGCAGAATCCAGTGGTTTGAGCAAACATGGGTGTGGGTGGGCTCACAAAACCAGGGGTCGGGCTGGCAACACTGGCAGAGCACTGGGTCAACTTTCCAAGACCAGTTACGGTCCCAGAGCCTGACTTTTGCAACCTCTACATGTTACAATACATGTGAGACTCCGCGGGGTGCATGCCCAGAGTCTTCCCACACGGGTTTGGTCCCTGGTTTTCAATCTATATTCCTTAGAACCCCAGAATCATTTCCATGGTCATTCTAGACTATGTTATTGATCTCTCAGTTTATTTTTAACAATTAAAACAGTGTCCAAATAGATGATGTAGATACCCCCAAGGAGGAAAGCCTAACGCTCACTCCTTAAGTATGAGCTGTGCACAATGACTTCCTCCCACAGAGGACTGTGGAAAGGGGAGAAAAATAGTAACTGTGGAGTGAAGAAACCTAGCTGGGTGATCAGGGTCGGAGTTAGCAGTGATGAGTCAGGGTGACCACATGCACTGTGAGAATTCTGTTATACCATCTTCCTGGTTTTCCTATAAATATAAACTTTAAATAACTTAATTGTTTTAAAGATTTTATTTATTTATCTGACAGAGACGGTGAGAGAGGGAACACAAGCAGGGGGAGCGGGAGAGGGAAAAGCAGGCTTCCCGCCGAGCAGGGAGTCCGGTGCGGGGCTCGATCCCAGGACCCTGGGACCATGACCTGAGCCGAAGACAGACGCTTAACGACTGAGCCACCCAGGTGCCCCAAAATTTTAATAAATAGCTTTATTAAAAAAAAAAACAGTCTAACAAACTCACACTGGGATGTGTTATGTATACCACTTGGATTATCTCCTAGCTACCTTGAGTAGCTTAGCTAAATTAGTTTTTGTTTACACTCAGACCTCCTGTTTGAATGTTAGGGTTATGATACATATAAATCCATAACCACTGAAGTGTATGGGCAATTTAAGGGACTTTTAGCCAAATTTTGGCCATCTGATACAAGTTTTTGGTTCAGTTGCATTGAGGAGGGGGCTGTAAGTGTGCTGATCCCTCATTCCCACCCCAGCCCTGGACTACTATCGCCGGATCCAATATCCAATCTGTTCTATCCACTTCATTAGCTGGGTTGATTAATTTGTAAATCTGAAATGTAAAGCTGGTAGAAATGAAGAGCCACTCTGATCAGTTTTGCGCCCTGCGCTCTGTGTGAAGGATCGTTTATAAAAGGCTTCTCTTGCTGGGTGGCGCGCCCCCCCACCCGCTCCCCCCAGGGCTGGAGTGCATGTCTGCAGCCACCAACTTCTGACCTGCCCAGGGGTCCTGTCGCTAGGTGCGCCCCCCCCCCCTGGGCCTGGATCCCCACAGGGCAATCCCAGTCCGGCAATCACATCCCTGCCTGGAGGAGTGGTAGCCCCGTGTGGCCCTGTGTCCTGCAAGGTGATGGCTAGGAGCCTGTGGGGTGCACCCACCCAGAAGCCCCACCAGAAAAGCCCCTAAGCAGGTCATTGGTCAGCTCCCTGTGCTTCCTCTTCTGCCGCCCAGAATTTCCTGAAATCGCAGGGACGTGGTGCCCCCACCCTGTCCCCCTGGTGTCCAGGCTTCATGCCCATCTGGCTCTGAGGGTCCCTAGAAGGGGCTGGGGCCTACTGGCCCCTTGGAGGTAACAATGGATGAGGGGAGGGTAGGCCCCTGCAGTGCATGGGGGATGGATGCAGCTGCCCCCACCCCTACGCCATACCCTTCTGGACTCAGTCCTGAGGGTGGGGGCAATGCATGGGGGAATCAGGACTGTCCCCCCCTTCCCAGGACCTCACTCTGTCCCCTCGGGCTCCAGCTGCTGCTCATCACCTTCCCAATAAGCCCCACCTGGCTACACCTGGAGATTAGCAGTGTTTATAGGCAACTCCTGTGGGGGGGGGGGCAGGCGGGGCTGGGGAAGGACTCTCAGTGGAAACCCGGCAACCTGGGGCCTTCCTGTGTCTGCAGCACCCAGCAACCGCCAAGGCAACGCGGCGCTCTGGGAGCTGTGGCCACCCTCCCACAGGGGGTAAGCCGCGTCCAGGGGGTAAACTCAGCCCAGCTCAGGAACCCTTCAAAGACACCACAGTTGGGGCTGCTTCTCCTTGCTTGCTGATAACCTGAAACCCAGGGAGGAGGTGGGTCTGTGGTGTCCCAGGATGCTGGACTCCTCAGTGGCAGATGCGATGACCCGACTGACCCTGAAACTCTTGGAGAAGGTAAGGCAGTGGGGGCAATCATGTATTCAACAGCTTGTCAAAGAAGCACAGATTCAAAAGGTAAGTTATTATGCCTGTCAGTATACTCCTGCTTCCAAGGGAAAACACTTTCCTGTGCTTTTAGCCTTATGATGAAGGCCTGTGGTCTCTTGGTTTTCTCTGCCTTTATGCAGAACCAACTAGGTTCTTCTGGCAGCTTCTCAGCTGGGAGGCTGGATACACCCACGGCCCAGAGCATTTTCAGGGCCCACAAACTCCCCTGCAGAGCCTTCTGGCTTCAGTGTTTGGAGGAGACAGGCTCTGGCTGGTGCAGGGTCTACAGCCACGTAGGCCGGCCCTGGGGCCCATCCTGACAGCTGTCTTCCTGTCTTCCACGGCCAGCCTGCCCACCAGCACAGCGCCTCCTTCTGGGTGGCCCATGGCCAACGTGGAGGGGCTGGCAGGGGTCATCCCAGGACAGGCCCAGACTGTGCTGCTCAGCCCAGGGTTCAAGGGGGCGGGGCGGGGCGGGGGTGGGGGGGGGTCAGGGACAGGGAGCTGGCCTGGCTCAGGCTCTGCAGAAAGTTGCTTGAAAGGGGCCATTCACCTCAGAGCATCTGCCCTGAGATTTCAAGGTGGGACTTGTGTGCACCAAATGGAAAGCCTGACGACACAGTCCTAAGAGAGTACGGATGACCCTTGCCACCTCCCCCCACTCTGTCCCCAATCACCTCCATCTGGGACTCTGGTCCCAGGACTCTGGGGCAGGTGCTCCTCCCCCCACCCAGACCCCACCCACTCACGCACCGTCCTTTTTGACATAGAAACTGGAGCAAGAGTGTGACGATGTGGAAGGGAATTCTGAAGACCCCCACCTCATACCAGGTAAGAGCCCAGGCCGCTGGGAGAACACACACACACACACACACACACACACACACACACACACACGGTGCCCTGCCAAGCACACCCTCATAGCTTACCGCACCCTCACAAAAACCCCAACAGGGGATGCATTCATCATTCCCATTCTGCAATTAAGAGAAGGGGGGTCCAGAGAGGTCTGATCGTCTGCCGCAGGGTGCCCAGCTCAGACATGGCCACACCTGGATCCGACTTGTGTCGCTATGAGCTTGTTCTGGGGTGGGGGGTATGCGGGGTTCAACCTGTCAGGTGGGCACATCTTCAGGCAGCCAGACCAGGCGCCCCTGTGCATCTGCCACCCTGGCCAACGGTCGCTCAGGCCACATGAGGTGGAGGAGAGGACCGCTCTCCCGGTGACAGTGCCCAGGTTCAGGGACATCTGGGTGAGGTGCTAGGGAGGCCTATGAGAGCACTGCCTGTTCATGGCGAAGAGGCCCTTTGGCAGTGGGAGCTCCAGGAAACTCGTGAGGAGAGCAGGCAGAGCCCAGGGCTCAAATCCAGACAGGAAACGCCAAACCAGGTCACCTGGCCAACAGGTAAGAGCAGAACCATGGAGTGGGCCAGGGCAGGGGGACTCCTGGGGACCCCCCCCAGGACAGGCTGCTCTAGGCATCCTCAGGTCTGGGGGGTGGAGAATGGGTGTGCTGTGCCCGAGGAAGGAAGGCCAGACCCTGTTCAGAGCCTCCTCTTGAGTGGGGACCCCTCTCTCAGGAGGCTGCAGATGGCATTACCTGTGGCTCGGTGGACCGGACCAGCCCCCAGACTGCTTGGGGCCCCCACATGGCTCCAGGTGTCAGGAGGCCAGGCTCACAACCCGGTCGCACTCACTACCGAGCTCCGTGAGGACCTTCTCCCTCTCACCAGAGTGCAGCAGAGCCCGAGGAAGGGCTTTCTGCCATAGGGCCGTGCTTGGGCCCCGTGTGGGAACCTGCCTGATGTGACACCCCGCAGGAAACAAGGACAGGCTGGATGCAGCCCTGCTGGGTGCTCTGAGGAGGAGGCAAGACCTTCTGCAGAGACTCTGGGTAGGCCGCATGTCCAGCAGCTGTGTGGACCCTGATCATGACCAGGCCAGAGGCACGGGGGAGGGCTTCCTGGACTAAGCACTGGTCCCTGATGTCTGTGACCTGTGGGTGGGTAATGGACGGATCCGGAGCAGCTAGGAGCCTGCGCACCTGGATCCTGGACTTCATGGAGAAAATAACACCTGCATGCACGTTTTCCGTAGTCTAGGTTCCAGCAGGAGTGTTAGCTGAAAAACCCTGCTTTGGTTGCACGTTTCCCAAGGTAGAAATTCTGTGCAAAGGGCCCAATTCCTACAGGAGGTGGGATTTTAAGATGGCCAACGGTTTTGTCCAAACTAAATGCACCAGCAACAGGGAATGACCATGAGAAGCGATTAATTGGGTCCAAACGTATAGTTATGATAAAATGCTATGTCGTGGTGATGGAGGAAAGAGAATATGCTCTGTTGGCTAGACGAAGAGAACAACCAGAAACGGTTCATTATTTGGTAAACTTAAACAGAAGGTTAAGCTCCCTCCCCTTCCCACCACGTGAAATGAAGGGTTCCTCTCATGTGTGCCCCCCACGAAGAGCCTGGCTCCAATTCCAGAGGGTCTGTGCCCCGAGTGGACCAGGAGGACGCCCTGAGACCCCCCCGCCAGAGGACCACATGTCCGTGCACCTCTGCGCCAGGCGGAGTGCGCGCCCCGGGCACCCGGTCTCCTCCCTTTGGTGTCTGTGGCTCTCCCTCTCTGGGTGCTGCAGCTCTGCATTGTGTTGCAGGAACAGCATGTCCTAGAGGAGGGCTCCCAGGCCCGAGCACGGAGCAGCGTGAACAGAGGAGAAGCCCGTGGGCCAGCGCTGCCCCCAGAGGTGCCCCCCATGGGTATCTACCCTGCCACCTCCCTGCCCCCGCCAGCCCTGGAGCCACCACGGATTATCCAACACTCAGTAAGTCTTCATGAGCTGAGGGCAGAAGCAACGTGGAGAGGATGTGGTGCCCACAGAGACCCCTCATCCAAACGGAGACTGTGGCTTTTTGTGGTCTCCAGACCTACCTCCACAGCGTTACGAAGAGGGTCAGTCAGCTAGGAGCCAACAGTGGCCACATTTACCATGTCCCGGGCACTGCACAGGGACCTCCCTGGCTCCTCTCTGCAGTCCTCACAGGTGCCCTGAGAACTGGCTTTGGGGAGAGGGCATGGTCTTACCCCCTTATTACAGAGGAGAGCCTGGGGTCCCCATTCAGCCTCCTGACTCTCAGGTCCTAGCCTTTACACGAGGAACAGAAGTACTCAGCATCAGGAAGGCCCTGAGTTTGAGGAAGAAGTGTGTTAGCTCTTTCTCAAAATTTCATAATGACCAGGGGAATCCTAAGACCCTAATCTCAAGGGCAGAATTTAAAAAGGTAAAAGAATGTTCCAGGTTTTGAGAGCCTCAAACCTTTGTTCAGCATTCTGGGTTGCAAGCAATGGAAAGCAACTCTGACCCTCTTAAGCAGAAGGGAATGCAGCAGAAGGCAGGTGAGCACAGAGAAGGGCCAGAAGCCAGGGACAGGGCTCAGGAGAGCCCTGGGGAGAAGAGCAGGCGGAGGTGGTGGGCAGGACCAAGCTGCAAAGGTTCCGGCCAGGGAGGCGGCAGTGTGGGCAGACTAGGCCCGTGATCTGGAGCACCTTTGTTCTTTGGAAGAAGACCTGGCAGCACGAGGTTGAGGGACTAGAGCAGGAAGGGGTGACCCCAGATCAGGGAGAGATCTGTGCTAACGGAGCCCGCAGGGCCCCCTTTTGCCCCTGGGCTGTCTGTGTCTAGGCTCTGGATCTCCCCTCCTCAGCCTGCATCTTTGGATCTTCCAACACTGGGACCTCCTTCCAGGAATGGCAGGGGTGGTGGGGGTTAGAGGCAGGAGGCATCCCCCCCCAATTCCCAAACATGTTCACGCTCACAGCAATTCACGTGGACCCACTTGCACCTTTCAATCAGCCCCACTGACGACAAAAGGGCAAGTAGGGCCTTTGGTGGTTACAGTGAATTTCCTTGATGCTGGACTCAGAGACCCCGAGGCAGGGTGTCCCCCAAGCCGGGGACGCCACAGCTTTATCAGTCTATGCGTTGGGTAGCAAAGCGCTCTGCGGGCCAGAGCCGGCCTGCCCTCTGATTTTGTGCAACCTGTAAGCTGAGAACGGTCTTACACTATAGGTGTTTGGGGGCTCAGCCCCCCAACACTGGCTCAGCCTGGGGTCAGCTTGGGACGCCTTCCCTCTGCTGGTTCTGAATCTCGCCCTGTTCGCGCTCCCTCTCCCGCCGGGCTCGCTCGCTCTCTCTCTCTCTCTCTCTCTCTCTCTCTCTCTCTCATCCTTTACCTCTCCCTCTCTCTTTCGCCTGCACTCTCTCGTGCTCTCTCTAAAATAAATAAAATCTTTTAAAAAATGGGAAAATCAAAAGAAGAAGCATGGTTTGTAGCATATGAAAATGATGTGAAATGCAAATCTCAGTGCCCGTGTGGATGTGTCACCACCCGTCCCGCGTGCGGTGGCCACTTTGCAGCCGCCCTGCCGGGGGAAGCCTTCACCGCCGAGGCCCTGTGGCCCACAAAGCCAAAACTATTTATTGTCTGGCGCTCTACATAGAGAGTCTGCCAAGCCCTGGTTTTGCCATCATTCCTGGGAACTAGGAAAGAAAGGACAAGGCCTTATCCATCCAGGAGAGGAGTGAGATGGGAAGTCTTTGGTGCATGGTCAGCACCTAGTGTGGGCTTGGAATTGGTGTACGTTCCTTTTAACTGGAGAGAAGCCAGAGATTATCTTCATGACCTGTTCCTTGGATGCCTCTATTCAAGCAGTATTAATGAAACCGGATGTTAGCTTCTTCTCCTGAAGACAGGAAATGGGGGAAAATTAAAAATAGTGTTTGTTAGGGGCGCCTGGGGGGCTCGGCTAAGCATCTGACTCTTGATTTTTGGCTCAGGTCCTGATCTTGGGGTGGTGGGACTGAGCCCCACATCAGGAGCCTGCTTAAGACTCTCCCTCTCCCTCTGCCATCCCCCACCCACAGCCACCCATGTGCGTGCACAGGCACGCTCTCGCTCTTACAAAAAACAGGCTATGTGTTACTATGCTAGGGCAGCTTAAACAACGAAGTTATTTTCTTACATTTCTGGAGGGCGGAAGTCCAAGACCACCAATCAGGTTCCCGGAGAGCGTTCTCCTCCTGGCTTGCAGACGGCTGCCTTCTCACTGCCTTCACATGGTAGACAGAGAAAGCTCTCTGGCATCCCCCTTTTTATGAGGACACCAGCCCTACAGGATTCGGATGTCACCCTTATGACCTCACTTAACCTTTATTACCTCTTCACAGGCCTGATCTCCAAATACAGACACATTGGAGGTTAGAGCATCAACACACGAATTTCAGGGTGGACACAAACATTCATAACATATCATGTCCTAGGTGATACCCAGACTCAAATATCCATCTACTAAGCAACCAAGTCAATGTATAGGGTTAATCATTTGAAGTTTCTCTTGGATGGATGGATGGATGGATGGATGGATGGATGGATGGATGGATGGGTAGGTAGACGGGCAGTGGATGGGTGGGTAGAAGGATAGGTGGGGAGGTGGATGGGTGGGTAGACAGGTGGGTGGGTCAATGGATAGATGGGTCTGTGGGTGGGTGTGTGGGTCGATGGATGGATGGGTGGGTGG